ACATCAGTGGGTGATGTTTTCCCCACTGAGACTCAAACACAGTACCCATCACTCCAAACGCTAAAGCGTTATCCACTAGGCCACTGAAGCACGATAGCCACCTCTTTTGTAACGGGTGTCAGTTATTATTTCTTGGTACTTGTAATTCTCCTTTGTTATACTGGATCAAATTGATCAACCACTGTTGGTATATCCGGTTGGTGAGTCCTAAATAGGACGAAACGCGAGTCCTAGATTCCACTGCAAGCCATAATTAAGTTAATCATAGTTTAATAAGGTTTCGAAGATACGTAACTCGTTGAACTGAAATGCCTACATTTTAGTACTGTCTAACCTGCGTGGTTGTTCAAGTACATTCATTCATGACGACACTAATTGTTGAACTCTACAGATGCAAATTTTGTGTGTATAAACATTAGGAGTTGATGAATATATTTTAGAGAAATGAAGGTATGAAGAGTTTAACAATCTTTTTCCAGTAAAAAACAGTTAATGCAACTTTTGAAACAAAATTCTTTTCGAACGTAGTACATTCTGTAACCTTATTTAGTTCAAGGTTGACATTTATATAGTATATTTAAAACAAATTTGAAATTAGTGTAGATATGTTATAGTGCTTAAGTAGTACATGTGTGATTTATTAGGAATAAATTCATTTGATGAAATCAATAGAAGGTGATACAAACAACATAGCGTGTTAAGCATTTTTAATGCGTTCATGTTCCTCTTTACAACTGATCTTGGTGTCATGTTTCCCATCTACCGAAATGACCCAAATTATCGGTGAACATAAGCAAAGTTAATCATTAAACTTATTTATATCGGTCACAGTGAGCCACAGAAATCTCAGGTAAGTATGATCAGATGCTTTATTTCCTTTATTTTAGAAGATATTCTACTTAAGACTTAGCTTGACTCCAAAGCTTTTTAATTGACCTCTCATTCATTTCTTTACAACACATGTTTCCAAAATAAAACTGCCTGTCAAGTAAAATCAATTATTTCCTGTTATCTCACTTTCTTTGCACAAAATCAAATATTTGGTTTCGATGAATTATGCTGCATTGTAGACACCTAACTTAGATACACATATGCATGACCCAGATCGCAGATATACAAGAAAGGTAAGTATCAGTTTTTTTCTTCTGTTGTTAGAACGAAGGGAAAGAGAGATTGGTACTCCAAATATTTCATCTTGTATTCAGTTCAGTTAGTGATTCATAGACATAGGAGAGTGACTTTAAAGCTCAGCCTAACAACTACTGAAATATGAAACAATCAGTCTATTTTATGAATTTCGATTACGCAATTAGAAGCCACAGTTTATCTGAAAAAGTGATTTATTTGTGGCATACATTTTGAACAATATGATCACAAATTTGCTTGTTACTACTGAACTAATTAATTGCGTTTCTGTACTTCATGAAAAACTATCTGACGACCTAATTTATCATTTCCGTATTTTGCTGGGTGGCTTTTAGAGTCATTCACGAGGATATGCGGAAATAAACAGCTAGTGAGGCATGTAGACAGATCGAGTAACGAAACGTAAAAATTAACAGAGGACTGCCTCTTCTCAGGTGATCATAAAATCTTGAGTGTCTTGAGTTGAAATCCATAGAAGGACAAGATGATCAATCTATAACTTGTCGTTATTTTTAATTGATGAGTTTATTACATATTTACAAGAATTCGACAAAGGTATTGTCAATAACTGTTGCACATATGATTAGTAGTGAGTCGAAAGCAATCACAGATGACCGAAAAAGCAACTACACCGCTATGTCAACTTAACTAGATTTGAAACACCTGCTATGAATCACTTTTCTATTAAAGGCTAGCGAAATTCACTCATTTGAAGTTCTTTGGTACTTGTAAACTCCCATTGCTATACTGGTTTTGATTACTCTACCTCATTTGGCAGATGGGCTCTTGTGCGGATACCGAAAAACTGCTAGATTACTCATTGTGTTGTAATTTGCTTGGTGGCTAGCAGTGGAATCCAAGATGCACGTTTCATCCTATTTGAGACCCATCAGTTGTATGTACTTGCACCCCAGTGAGTGGTTTTTACCCCTTTGATATTTGAAGCGATGGGTACAGGGTTTGAGTCTCGGTGGGAACAACATCACTCCCTGGGATTCAGGTGCATCCAGCTGACAAATCTCAAATAGGACGAAGTACGCGTCTTGTCTTCCACTGCTAGTCACCAGACTCAATTGACCTTCACTACACTGACTCGGTAGGATTCATAGACACCAACGTGTACTGATAATTTTACAAATCATCATTGCTGATAAAGAATTAAATATTATAGGCGGTAATTTGCTTAAATCGAATACTGTTTTTATGAGTGCGCTGTTGAATTCCTCCTACTAGTAAATAACCATTTCAGTACACAGTACATCTTTTGCTGTTGTTGGATATTTACAGATGACTAACACAAAGTTATGCACTCAGTTCTCATACCCGCTGATATTAACGAACAAATCCTCAGAAAATATAACTTATGCAACCCAGTCTCATTGCCAGACATTAGGAAATAGAGTGATTGAAGTAGGAATTGACATTGAATTAGGGAGACTTATAGTTTAGCCTATAGAATAGAATGGAAGTGTTTAAATGGAGATCCAATTTTATATCATTCATTGGATATGGTGGTTGACATGCTGTTGAAAGCTTTGTCAGTTAAAAATTCAGCCAACAGTACACCGTCTAAATATTCATTCCCTGAGCTACAGATATTTACAACTGTTTCAAAACAAACAGTTTAACACTAATTACTAGCACGTAGTTGGTTAGTTTAGAATATTATTTCTGTCTTATAGGAAGGGAATCTTCATTGCTGAGTAAACAGCTTGCAGATAAATTTGAAATATAAACCCATATGAGCGTTCTACTGAACCCGATCTATGAGTTTCACTATCAGTACAAGGATATTGGTGGAAAAAACACCTTAGTTATATGGAAACATTTTACAAAATAATTGCACTATCTTGTGTGGCTGTTTTTTATCTACTTAAACCATGATAGAAGACAATGGAACAGAAACTTGAAAATAGGGCTACTATTTCAATTTTTTTCATTAGTTTTCACCATATTGTAAACTGTTTTATTAAGTTTGAATAGAACGACATCTAATTATTGTAGTGTAAATTTTTACCTTCTACACGCTTGAAAGAAGCTCAAAATCCTCTGAAAATATCGAAAACCGATCGTCATACTCTGAGTTTTCTTGATAAGCCACGTAAAACTATTAGATATGACTGGAAATCCGGTTCTAAAGAGGTGCAAAAACAACCAGTGCCATCGAAAACATAGTATACCTTTTTATTTTATGCTTCTTTTGTTTTGAAAATCAAACTTTCCATCATATTACTACCTCTTCCTGTTTTTTTAAAGAATGAACTACCCACGAGGGTGAAAACTGAAGTCTGTTGTTGGAGAGTCATATCACTAGTACTTTCTCCATTCCTTTGACTTGAAAATCTAATAATATCAAAGAAAGAAGTATCCTGTCGTTTTTGTAATCAAGCTGCTTTGACAAATCAACTATGAAGTGTTACACAGTGCTAACATCAAAATTCCCAACCATAAAAACCAAGTAAATTATTTATCCTGTGATTTTTAACCAGACGGTTTAACTAATGGTGGCGTATCTTATTGCTTTAAACAAACTTGAGTAGAATATTTGGATTTCACTTCTTCGTTAAACTGAACTTCAATCCAAACTAAGCTGAACTGAATCTGTTATCATATAGAAATATTTTTTTCCTTCATCATATTTTATCCAGAATTTGCAAATCATGGAATTCTTCGTTTAAATGATATTCACTTTGAATAAATAGGCTGTTTTACACCTAATAAATGTTGCATATTTATGTTTTCTTCAAGTTGCTGAAGTTATGATAGATTATAACCCGCATTATTTATTGTTACATGGAGTTCTCGTTGACTGTTATTATGGACCGAGTTGATAGGTCATTGTGAGTGTACGGTATGCCTGAACCTATGCCTCCATATCGCCGTAAATTTTAGCATAATGTAGTTCTCTTGATGGTGACCGGCTCTAAAACACAGTGGAAACACAAGTATTCACTGAGATGCTGATAAATGTGACTAATAAGTACTTAATATGACGATAAATGCGTCTTAGATTCTCTCGCCAGTCACAACCAAGCAAATTACATGTATAAATATAGTTAATATTACTATTACCATTATTAGTCTTGGCTACTTTTAGCATTGTTTGGAAATCCAGTTCGTCTAAAGGAGTCCAGCAACCTTGAGTACACCATGATGATACAGGACTTAGTAATGTTAGTTGTAAATGCCGCTCTCATCAAGAAAAAAGGCTACGTTTATGATTATTGTATTGTGCGACTGAAATACTGCTATCTGCTTTCATTTAAATGAATTGCGTGATTATTTCGTGTTTTTCCGCCGAAAAATCAATTTCCACAGTTGCTTTGTTACCTTTAGTAGCAGAAACAGTATTGTAGACGACGTATCTCTTCTTAAATGCCTTCGTGGTTGTCATGCTCTCTTGGTTGACTTAAAAACTGGCGGGAATGAAAATGATCACAAATTATTCACTGACAAGACCAAGAAAAGCACTTTGCGTGTTACTCTTCAATACAGAAACTAAGTTTTGCTTGATGAAATCTCCATAGTTGTAAACATCTATCCTCCTTAGCACTATTTATTGTCTCAGGTACTTTTCTAAATAACTAGATTGAGTAGTTACAATGAGTCAGCAACCCGCAAAATACCAAAGAAGACCAGATGAGTGATATCCATAGTTTAGCACACAAGTCTTTATACAATGAAGTGTTGATTAGTGTCCAGTCAAAAGCTGAACCATATATGGATTTTGATCAGTGGTTTTAAGTTTCAAGTTTCGCAGCAATCAAGATTTCCATAACAGTTCGGAATAAACAATGCTTATATATGTTTATGTGCACTCATGCAACAAAAATCAATCGTAAATGAACACTTACCAGCGCTACCAAGTAATGATCCCGTCCAACTGAATACACTATGATCACATATTTCTCGTTTACATAGTGTAAGTACAATAAAGAATAATGATATACATAATAAACAACATCCAGTCATACTAACTAATCCAGTTAACCATATGATTTGATTGGCTTTAGCCGGTCTAGCACCGAAACCCCACATAGATAACTGACATTTCAATAATGTACCATCGAATAGCTCCCAATTCAACAGATTATAATCTAGTAAATTAGAACAAGTACTTTGACACCGAAGCCATGGTCCAATAGATGGTGGAATTAATCTTATCATTTGTTTAACTGACTTATTATACCTTTTTGAAAAGGAATGTCGTTTAAGATCATTCTTCTTTTTGTTGTCATTGTTATTATCACTATTATCATTATGCATATCCTCATCAGTGTCATCATTGAAGATAATATCGTGCGGACATGCTGTTAAACGACGTGTCTCTGGTGTTTCAATACGAATTAACCAATGTGGACTAAGAAAACTGGTGATATTTATCACAATTGATAAGAAAGCACACGTGATCCATATTAAAAGTATCCAACTTAATATGATACGTGGCATAATATTTCAAAAATCCTTAATTGCTTTTTTATTATGACCAGCCATTATCAGTATTGCGTTGATTCACTGAAACGAAACGTCAACATGCGATTTATCCGCAGCCTAATAAATAAACTTGTGAAATCACTTTCCCGCCAATCAAACTCTTCTATTTGTTAAAGGTCGAATGCCAACCAATGAGCGACAAGTAGATTTCGACTAATGAATGATCAGAATGTATTTTTCTAAATGTTAGAAATCTAATTACTGCTTACCTTCTAGCAATAACAAGAAGTTTCAAGCCTGTGAAAACATTAATTGCCATTTTCCTGTTAGAAATAAATCAATGGGATACTAGTAATGACTAGAATCTTTTGTTAGAATGTTCAATTAGTTCAGATGACTCGTAATTCCTCCCCTGAAAGTTATCAAAATGATGTTTATTCTATTGGTGCTTTGTAACTGGAAATAAGATTGATTATCATGAGAACTAACTCTACGAAACTATAATAAAGTTTAGTTTGCCGCAGTTGAAGCACTTTTACAAAATATTCAGTCGAATGGATGCAAGAAAATCTAATACGAATCACTAAAAATCTTTGAACTGAATGAATAGTAAACATTTTAAGTCCTCTTAGGTATTTCAGCAGATTTGTAACCATATGACCGTGTTACTAATATGGTTCACACTAGAAATCAGTTGCACATTACAAAGTACTTTGGATATAACAGGATTTTATAGTTATCCAACAAAGATGATCTTTTTCAGGTATCACTTGTCTTAAGACATTCGATGAGGAGATGTAGTTCCTACTCATGACGAACGAACATTTAGCATTATAGCGGCAGCTTCTGTATGGTTGTTTAGATTAAGGTAGGCAATAACTATACCTCAGCATGTGAACATTCATCTGAAATTGTCCTTTGCTCTGGCACTGTTTCTAGAGGTAGAACTTTAAATGGCATTCTAATAGTCATCTTCAGGTTCTTCTTTCTTTATGTGAGAGTGACATACTCGTCTTCGATACTGGAAATGTTTCATTGTGTGACATTTGCAATAAGCAAACTGAAAAAGGATTATACTCCAGTATAACACCCCTTTATCTCGACTGTATTTATAAGTACTGAAGCTCACTGATTTTTATTTTTTATAAGGCAAGTTCTCAGAGATAAAGGTTTGATGTACTAGTGTTAAGAAATGAATTCATCTCGCAGTGTAGTTCATTTAACAACACTTTCTCACCCACCCTATGAAAACCTACGGTCACTAGAATGACATACATCAAGTTATTAGAAAACAAAATTCTTAGTTTGAAAAATAATCACGGACATCACATGAAAAAGCAAAATGTGCATGTGTAAAGCATGTAGCTCGGTTTGAAGGGGTTTTGTTCTCTGAGCTGGATTTTTTAGTCGTGAAGCTTTCATCCTCATTCAGACAACATCATCAGCACAAACTTCATAAAACAGCGAGCTTTCCGAGGTTTGTGCTGATGATGTCTGGAATGAAAATGAAAGCTTCACGATTAAACCATCCAGCTCAGAGAACACAACATCAAAATCATACTCCTGGTACATAAATATTCCCTATCATAGTATGTAGCTCAGCCGTCGATAGCAGTTTACTTGACCAGAGAATAAGGCATATCTGTTATATGATGGCCACTGTTTGCCTGGATCTCAATAGGTGGAGAAAAGTTAGAACCCGATTAGCTGCAGTTCACTGAATACAGAATAATTCAGCAAGTGTGATGACGAATAACGTTTTTCATAAAATGTTCCTAAAATTAACTGATCTGAAGGAGAGTGAAAAAATGAATGAAAATCCCGTCTGAATTTTCTGTAAATTAGTTTTACAGCGAAATCACTTGCTACTGATACCTTAAATTAAAAGTAGTATTTCACCGTGATAAATAACATGTGTCTTATAAAGTAAGCTGAATGTTCACCTTTGGCAAGAGAGATTACTGATATGCTTTCAGCTTAATTTGATATTTTACAAGAAAGATTCCACATTATTTTCGATTTTATTTGATCTTGATCGATAACTATCATGTATGAGGATCGAGATGCTGATATTGTGAAAACTCAAAGAGACTTGCAGCAACATTTCGCCAATGTTACTATGGCATACAGGGAAATTATGCTATTCGACAGTTTCAAATGGAAGTAAAGAAACTACCAAGTGAACTGTAGTAACATTTCAGGAGTAGTGATAGTAAGATTACCACCATCTCTGAGAATAATTTTATGATTTCATGGAGAAATATGAGGAGAAAAGCACTATTGAATTTAAAATAGATAGAACTTTGAACATTTTATCCACTCAAACAATTTTTTTATGGCGAGTGTTTCAAACTGAATCCTTGCTTTATAGTCCGTTGTTAATACAACTGAGAGGACGATCGAAGATTTTATTTCAAGCCTCTTGATAGGTTTAAAAGTCCTGCATGAAGATTACAAGTACTGAACACTTTTGTACAAACTTGTGGCTAATTGAAGAGTTATAGAAAACATCGGAATGTTTCCATCCCGCTACAACTTTATAAATACCAATGATTTCAACTCTAAAGTCAGTGTGTGCTTCTTTATATATGCGAAAAAGTAAAGCAGTAATTGCACTTTTAGCCTTAAATTTCAATAGCAGAAAAGTTTTCAATTTTCACTGATGTCCACTACAATCTGACTGGAAATTAGCGCTCACTTGAAGTCTCCGACATATGTAATTTGAACCTTAGAGACGTTATGTCTGCGTCGTATCAACGACAACTGACTCAATCTGTTATAGTGTATAATCTTTGCGCAATCGATCAAAAACAATTCCATTAAAAAAGCTGGTGGTTATTTTCTTCAATTTCCCTACTTACAATCGAATATATATGGTAATTCTATTCGTTTCATATAACTTTATCCTTGATACTAAATTTTGCAATATACGGATGTAGAGTAAACAGATTAAAGAAGCCCAATTTTCCAAGTGATTTTTCATCCATATGGTGTAACAAAATCAGTTTATCCTACATCATATTACTTTACTTGTGACCTATTTGTCTGTTGTCAACGTAACTCTTTTCTTCAGTAATAGTATGTCTGATTTGAATTTGTGTTGATTGTCATGGTGTCTAGTGACCTTTGTAATTTTATTTTGGTTTCAGTTTGATGAATATCACCCTTCTCTCTCGATATTTTTGCTTCATACAATTTCATTATTCTTTTTTCAATATTGTAAACAAAGTTAGATTTATGTGGATTTGAATGTTGGTAACGCTATTGCACATTTGTCAATGAGACTGCAGTGACACACAATAAGCATATGACGTGTCTACTACAGTGTGAATTATCAGTCTTTTCCCTTATCAAATAGACACATGTACAGCAATAAGTGGTGCTAACTATACTGATGGTGTGAATCTATTTTTCTACTGATCAGCACTTTTCTGTAGGATTTTGCGGTCTTAAAAGTAAGATGAATACATGATGGCTATTCTCGTTACATTCTAACGCCAAATAAATCAATATTGGAGAAAGGAAGTGAACAGATAGCTGGTCCATTATAGTCTGGAACAACTAACAAGCAGTAGTTATCGTGAATAAATCCGCTGAAGTGAAGTCTATAATGATCATAACTGAAACTAAATCACTTTTTAGTGTGATTTTCAGACAAATGTAACAACAACAAAATTAGATGAAATCTAATAGTGTAAACTAAAAAGGTTAGGGTCAAAAAATGTATTCTCCTTGACATCAATGATGATTTTGAAACTCTAAACAAAGGTGTACAAGGTATATTTTCCTCACTGTTCACCTGTAGCAGCTGACTGGAAGTAAACCAAATAAATTACTGTTTAAATAGTGTGAAAAAGAATACATGATCTCCGACATTTAGATTACTGCACTTAGGTTAACAGTGACTGTTTTCAATTTGTGTTTGTGTTCGATACTGGTCAGTGATCCAGCTTAAACTTCTCACCATTATTAATTGGTCTGTGTATTTGCGTGTAAGATATGCAAGTTATATTTCCTCCATTATGTTTCAATCCATTACTGAGTTATCCATAACATTTAATGCCCGCTGATGTGATCTCATAATCGATATTTTCCCCCTTATAGTGTGTTGTACAAAATTTGTGAAAATAACCGCATATAACAGTCAACTAGACCAACCGAATTGAAATGCGAACACAAATCCATATATTTAGTGAAAGTATCCACAGTATGTATGTATGGTTAACATGAGACTGATACGACGCCTCGTTTTTCGAGCAGCTGGAAGGTCTTATTTCGGATCATTCTTCATTCAATTACAGCTCTTGATGTATTGTCCATTTCCGGTTAACTTGTCTTATTCGCTATAACTAAATAGTTTGTTATCGATTAAAATACAAGAGAACTGTCTACAATTGCTACTACTCCTAGTGGGACCATTCAATATTTTACATAATGCCTTATCATTAACTATAGATATTGTGTCTCATTTCATGATTCAGATCCCTAAAATCCTCCACAACCAATGAGAATTCTCTGAAGTTTCGAGAACAGATAAGTGATCATATGTGCAGATTTCAGGTTGGTTGAAAAGGTGAATGACCTATTAGAAAGACCTAGGAAAAGCTGAGGTTTTTGTAAACAAAAATAAACAGTTATATTTTGTACATATTTTCATGTTGCAATGAACCTTCTGTTGTTTTACCAAGTTTTCTATTTTACGAGGAATTCAGCGACCATTAAGGGTAGTGTCTGAAGGTCGCTTTTCAAGCGTCCAAAAGTATATGAATAAGCACGCTTTATGAATAATGATAATTAATCAACGGTAAAATGTTTAGAAAACGATTCAGCACTTGTATTTGAAAAATTTTCTTTTCCTTCAATCGACCATACAACTTTGATACAGCAACAGTTGTAACGATTTTTTTCAAGAGCTCAATACTGATAATATTTTCACAGCATTTCATTCCTAAATGTGTCTTACCAGTGTCATGTAGAAAGATATTTCCTAGTGCTTTTCCCACTATCTGTCATAT